AGATGCCTGTTTACTTCCATTAGTTTAAAAATTTACATGTGAAGTGCTATGACAAATTCATAGCATTAAGCAATACAAAAGGCAGGTTGGACTCTACTCTCATGAGTTCATGATATTATGAAAAGAGACCCTGACCCTGTTCAAGTGCATTGGAATGGTGGTGTTGAACATGCTTACGAGTAAAAGTGCTGTAGTGGGTTGTTTGCTTTATTATTGAGCAAGAAGGGGAGGAGAGCGTGAGCGCACGAGAGCGCATGCTCATGTGTGCCACCATGTATATATGGAAATTAGAGGACAACATGCTGGGATCAGTCTCCTTCTGCCACGTGGGTCCTGTGGATCAAACTCAGATGGTCAGGCTTGGTGCATTTGCATGCTGAGACATCTTGCCAGCTCTAATTCCTTTAAGAAATGGATAGCTCATCCAGACCCACATCCTAGACCTTGTATTGACTGGCCTATTCTAACATCTACCCCATCTATGACCTGCTGGAGTGCGTGAAGGGACTGGTCCTGCAGAATGATAGCCACAGGATCTCCATGACTGGGGCAACAGCAGGATATCTGAGAGGAGTTTCAGTGAGGGTCCAGTGATGATGGTGTGCCAGACCAATGACTCATTGATGAACACCTGTGGGAGGGGCCAAGTGGACAAAAGTATACTGGGTGATGCACTGTAGTGCCCAGTGCCACTAAGATGAATAAACAGTGAGGTGAATTTTTTTGTTGTTTTTAATTAATTTTTTTGGATATTCTTTTTGGGGGTAAGATGCTTCAGGGGTGAGGGACAGATATGGAGAGACTGGGAGGTGAGCAGAGTTGGGTGCATGATGTGAAATTCTCAAAGAATCAATAAAGAATTATATATATTCATATATATCTCTCTATATATATGAATGAAATGGCTAGCTCTCTGTGTAGCCAATCACTTATGATTTATACTAATAAAAATTTATACTATATTTTCCTAAAAAAATACTGCTATACCTTCTCTGTAGCGAAATATTTAACCTAAGCACTTTTTAATGGCCTTCATTTAAAATAAATTAATGTCTAGGAACTAGAATCAAAGTAAAATATAATTCTTTGTGCATATATATTTTTTAAATATATACTATGTCTAGATATAATTTATATGGAAATCAATCTTATAATTCATATTCAAGCTAGTGTATTGCTAAGTGGAAATAGAGCAATATTTCCTCTTTAGAATATAATTACTGTTGACTTTCATGGTGTCTCAGCTTAATGTCATCTATTTTAATGTAGTGCTTACTTTTGGTTTGTAGAGATCTGTTGTCATCTGAAGGGATGGCTCATCCATGGTCAGAAACCAAGGTATGAAATCAAACTTTCTGTAAATGCAATTACATTCTGTAGAATTTAGGACTTCAATAAAAAAAACCCACACATTTATTTGTGCCACAGCATGCATGTGGGAGTCAGAGGACAACATGTGGGGGTCGGTTCTCCCCATCCACAATGTAGACTCTGGGAATTGAACTCAGGTCATCATACTTGGCAGCAAGCACCTTACCTTTTTAACCATCTTCCTGGGCCTAGGGTTGTTTTTTGTTTTTAAAGAAAAATAGGGGAAGAATGCGACTCAATAGATAGAATGTAAAACTCAGATGTGATATGCTCATTCAGCGTTGCTTATAAAAGATCTTGAATAACTTCTTCTTTATAATTCCACTGAATAATTTGGAGGGTAGTGAACAAAGTTCTAAGGAAAAGACTTTGTAGGATTAGGCTCTTTGCTTCTCTATGAATCATAATCCTATGGTGGTTTGAAAGAAAATGGCCCCCAAAAGGAGTGACACTATTAGGAGGCGTGGCCTTGTTGGAGGAAGTGCGTCACTGTGGGGGTGGGCTTTGAGGTCTCTTTTGCTCAAGCTTCCCTCAGTGTGACTTTCAGTCAACTTCCTGTTGCCTGCAAGATGCAGCACTCTCAGCTCCAGCACCACATCTGCCCGCATGCCACCATGCTCCCCACCGTGATGATAATGGACTGAACTTCTGAAACTGTAAACAAGCCACCCCAATTAAATGTTCTCTTTATAAGAGTTGCTGTGGTCATGGTGCACAACAGTAGAAACCCTAAGACAGGTCCTCATCTAAAAAGCATGGGGTGGAAACTGGGCACCCTGGGATCTCTAAGTTTCTATGCGAAGCTCTTCTAAGTTAAGGGAACTGTACACCTCAAAGCCAGGAAAGGCTGCTTGGCACGCGGTTGGCTAATAAGGAGAACTGAATTCTGTGACTCAAAACATCCTGATTTAACATTCACTAGCTAGCTGAATATACTGCATCCTTAGGACTCATTTTCTGTACTCCTGATTCCGTTGGTCTGGGTGATGTCTGGGTCTTTCCTGCACAGTTCTGGAATTCCTGAAAATGCAATTGAATTAATTATATAAAAATGCCAATTTTTATTTGTAGCAAAATAACAATTCCATATGTTACAAAATTTTGGGGGCTGGAGAAATGGCTCAGTGGTTAAGAGCACTGGCTGCTTGTCCAGAGGACCCTGGTGCAATCCCCAGCACCCACATGGCAGCTCACAACTGTTTGTAACTCCAGTCTCAGGGTGTCTGACATCCTCTTCTAGCCTCCAAGGGCACCAGGCACACATGTGGTGCACAGACATACATGCAGGCAAAATACTCATACACGAAACCAAAAACCAAAGCTAAACCAAACAAAATTTCTGTTGTTAGAAATGATTAGAGTTGGGCACTGGAGAGATGGCTTAACAGTTAAGAGCACTGGCTGGTCTTCCAGAGGTCCTCTGTTCAATTCCCAGCACCCACATGGCAGCTCTAATTTTCTGTAACTCCAGTTCTGGGGGATCTGACACCCTCAAACAGACACAACAGTGCACAGGAAAAAAAATCATTTTTTAAAAGAAGAAATGAAAAAAAAAAGAAGAAACGAGTGAACTCTTAATTAATTGGTAGTTTCAATTCTTTTTCTCTAGCCAAAGACCAAAAACACTGGTCCTGTAAACAAGGTTCAAAACAGACTCCACTCTGCAGATAAAGAAAGGAAAACAAATTCAAGGTACAGTATAGTTTGCAAGCCTGACTTTCCTTTTCAGTATTACAGTCCACAGATTCAGCATTCTTAGCTATAAACTTTCTGTTTCTGCTGATTTTTTATAAAGCCTCCAATATAAAGTGACTGCATGTCTCCCAACATTGACAGTAATTTAAAGCATTTGCAGCTTGGAACTGTTTACAGCAGTTAATAAACATTTTTTTGTACTCTAAAACAAAATCACTACCTTTCCATAATTTTCACTGTTGTTTTTAATGAGACATTATTGAAACTGGGACTGAGATCTGGGTTTTATTTTGTTTAAAGATTTTTAAAAAATGTGTAAGTATGTATGTGTGTTTGTGTGAATGTATGCCACTTATGTGCAAGTGCCCTTCAAGACCAGAAAAGGGTGTCAGACTCCCCAGAGCTGGGGTTATAAGTGGTTGTGAGCGACCATGTAGGTCCTGGGGACCAAGCTTGGGTCCTCTGCAAGAACAAGTGCTCTTAAATGTTAAGCTCTCTTTCTGCCCCCGGAGCCTGGGTTCGGTTCTTGCAAACTGTCATCTGGTTCTCGACAGCTTGACAGAACGCCACACATTATTGTGTTTATGAGATGGGCATGGTTTGATAAGATACAAATTAGGTTGTGTCATAATTGTTATTTACATTCTGCTGGATGTTTTTTATTGTTGTTGTTTGTTTGTTTTGAACGAGTACAAAACTACCCTTAGGATCATAAGCATGTTTTCATGAGACTGGATATGATGAACTTTTTTTTTAATAAAAGGAAAAGAGTTTGGTTGTAACAACCAGTAAGCTATTTAATCTTTATGTCTATGACCTGCCCAAGCTGGTAATTACATTTATAATAATGGGGAAATCTTTCTTAACTCTTGTGTCTTTTAATTACTTAAAACGAAAAAAAAATAGAATTGAAGGGATAGAAGATAAAATTAACAAAGACAGCCTGAAGAGATCATTGGCTAAATTGCATGTATCACTGCAGAACTCCCTTATTCAGTCTTCACAGTCACTATTTAAATAAAAGGTGGTTATTGCAAGAATTCACAAGCATTTGCCTTCATGTTAACAGTAAGCCGAGCTTTCAGAATCAGTCTTGGTGACATCCCAATGCATTTGGCCTGGTCCAGTCCTCTGTGCCTTTGGAAGTGAGTTTTATTTCCTAATTCTTCCTCCACTTAATGTTAAAAAGTTAAAATCCAACATTTTGGTCAACTTTGATTCTTGTCAGAATGTGTTTCCCCACATGGAAAATGAATGTTGCGTCTGATGGCACTGAAGACCTGGTAATCCTTCCTTAAGAGGTGAAATCCCTCCCAGTTTTCAGGCTCAGGAGAGGGCAGCCTCACCTTGGACAGTTCTCCACCAGCATGCAAAACTGAAACTGTAGGCTGGATCTGCCCAGCAGGCCTGGATCCCCCTCATAAAGACTGAATGCCTACTAGGACTCTTAGAGCAAAGTCCTCAGAGTATCCATTGTAGATTTCATCTTAAGTTTAATTTTATAACAGGTTTATCAGCGTTGTCGTTTGGGCAAAGCTCCATCCCCTCCCCCATCATCCCATTTCTGCTCACGTGTGTCCATGCGTGCTTTACTTCTTAGTGTTAAACTGAAATATCCCAGTGTGCAGACTGCCAATGATGTGGCCATCCCAGACGATTTTTCAGACTTTTCCCTTGCCAAGACAATTAGCAGAATTGAAGGGCAGCTGGAAGGGGACAACTTGCCAGAGTGCGCAGATGACGACATTTTCTATGGCGTTAGTAAGGACATTGGGACAGGTAGGTTTGCTTTGGTTCCTAGTTTTCTTTTAACATTACACTATTTAGAAAAAGAGATTTGGGAGAACTATTCTTTAAAATTTTATTATGATATGGATTTATGTCTAGATAATAATAATCTAGGGAGATGTAGTGGATGGAAGGAAGATTCTAGATGAAGTAAATTGGCCAAGTGATTGTTGACCGAGGGCGGTGGTGTGAGTTCCCTGAGCTTGCCTCCACTTTCATCTGTTTGATATTTTGTATTGTAAAAAGTCGTGACTATAGTACTGTTTTGAGTTTATTGAAGTTTTCAACTGAAATCAAATGTTCCATAGCTTATCACTGAAATAAAGTTTCTCTGAGTACCTTCCATTTATTTTTATTATATTCTGTTTATTGTATGTTAAATCAATATATTTGAAAAGGATAAATGAATTGCTATAGCAACAGATAAGCAATCAAATGAGTTTTTCAATGAATATAATTTTCTTTCTGGTTGACTTACATTCTGCATATAACTAGAAAAAACACTGAGTTTTAATCATCTAAAAGAATTGTATTTGTTAGCAGCAGTGCCTCTAAAATTACTGAAATTATGAGGAGCCACCTGTGCTGTTGGAACAAAAATCCAGAACAATTGGAATGTGTGAGCACTGTTACTGTGAACTGTCGTTTGGCTGTGTAATGAATTTGGGTGTGCAGTATGGTTAGCTGTGACTCCAATCTGGCTACCTAGCCCCTCTGTGATAACAGTGTCTCCATTTGAGGATTAGAGTTGGTTAAATGATGTCTTGAACACAGCTTATGCATCACAAGAGGCTGACAGTGTGTCTTTTTCAAATACACAGTTTACTGTTCACACATTCAAAGTGGGGGGCGGACAACTCACAGCAAATGCATCTTAACAGTCTAGCTCTGAGTGATGTCACCAGTGTCTGGAGGTGGGATTCACTCAGGACAGTGGCAGTCTTGCACAGGACAGGTAGTAAGTCTGCTAGCCCAGTGCACAGCAAACCACCACGACTGCAGTCACTGGTGGGAAGGGCAGTGAGTGGGTGCTGACTCTGAGGCAGATGGTCCTTCAAAGTGGCATTGCTCGAGCTCAGTAGAGACCAAAGAGTCATGCTTCAGTTGTGCTTAGCCATTCAGACAGGGTGCCAGACAGTGAGTGGTCACCACGGTCACTGAATAGTCCCTTACTGCTAGCACAGTGGCTTGTGTACATTGAGGTACGTTGGAGACCAGCCCCTGTCGAGCTCCCTGGTCCTTCTGTGGCTCGTCCCCTCCTTGCAGACTTCTTGGCCCCTGTCCTGATTGCTGTGGACCCCTGCTCCCAGGGTGTGGCTGATACACTCAGGTGCTCGCTTCTGCCCTCAGCATGGTCTGGCTGTCGGGATGTTTAGCAGGAGTGTCTCCATCTTATTTTCCTCTTTGTAGTTCTAAGTGTTCACTACAGATGGTCATAAAGTTTATCTCTGAAATTCTGATTCTCTGAAGAATCCTACACATTGTGTGTGATGGTGATTGGGCTACACCCTAGTCAGTCACCGTGGGAAGCAATTCATTTATGCCTTTGTAGCATTTATTGACCTAATCAATCCTCTGGGACCATTAGAGGGAAGGACAAAGGCAGTAAGTGAATTAGGAAGTTGGCCGTCATTCTTCAGATACCTTCCAGGACATGCTGGGCAGATGTTTGTTCCTGGAGACAGTCACCCGCTGCCCTGCTACAGTACAGAGATGGAGAAATTCAGGACCAGCTGCAGGCTTTACCATGAACACTGCACCTCCCTGTGGCCACTGTCTCAGTATTTTCCCTCTTCAGTGTGCTGACCTGGGTGTCTTATTCCAGGGAGAATATTCTTGTGCTCCAGATGCTTGCTTGGAATGGCTGGGTTATGGGTGGAGTTAGTTTGGAAGCACAAATGGTAAGATATGAAACTTTATTTTTGCTAGAGAGGATTTGTTTGTTTCTGTCAAATTCTTGGACGTTGTCAGCCTGAGACCACTATAAACTCTGGTTGATATTGTTCGGATCACTGTGGTAGGTGTGAGTGCTGTCTTTACATGTATACAAGCACCAGCTTGTAGGTCTGGTTTTTAGGAGGAGGGGTTTTGTCCTTGCCCCTGTCTTTACTCTCTCCGTGGTCTGTGTGACCACCTGTGCTGTCCTTTTCTGTTGTCTGACCTGGGGAGTGTTTAATGTTCACAGTGCTCCCACCGCAGTCTCCTGTTAGATTGCCTACTTTGACTGTTACTCATAAAATATGATGTCTCCCAGTTGATATCAATGTCTTAGACTTGGTAAAAAGCAGTCATGTGATGATTTGACTCCACAGAAGCCCAGATCAGATTTCTAAAGGCCAAGCTCAATGTGATGCAGGAGGAACTGGACAGTGTGGTGTGTGAGTGCAGTAAGAAGGTAAGCTGGAAGGCCTGCTCACAAGAGTGCTCTACTGAAGACACGAGGGACAGTCTTAATTATATTTTTAGATAGCCTTATTTAGATTATAATCCACAGTTAAACATCAGATTCAAAAATTGTATCTAAATACCAAACTTTATTCTGAAATGATGAGTTACCACAAAGCTTAAGAATGTACCAAAACTGTTGAAATTAGAATTTACTATTTTAGACTTGCCAGGTAATAAGCTATTCAGTATAAAATATCTGATTTCCATTTCTGACAGTGAATATGGAATGAGCTTTATTTTTCTCAGGAATTCATGTAAATATCTCATCAAAGGCCATCTGAGGCTCTTTTGTTTTCTGCTATGTGTTTTGATGTCAGTCCTTGTATATTTTTTACATAATTGACAATGTCATTGATTGTAGGAGGATGAAATTCAGGATTTGAAGTCCAAGGTGAAACATTTTGAAGAAGACTGTGTGAGACAGCAGCAAACAATCACGTCACAGCAGTCTCAAGTGGAAAAGTATAAGAATCTTTTTGAAGAAGCAAACAAAAAATGTGATGGACTACAGCAACAGCTCTCATCCGTAGAGAGGGTAAATTTTACGTCTCCTGACACACTGAAACTGTTAGAACTACAGTCTTGGTAGTTGTTCAGTTATTAATATTTACTGAAAACATCCCCCTTAAACAGAGTATTTGACAACTCTTTGAGGTACATATACTGTATTTCACCTCCTAGTAAAGTATGAACTTCAGTGGCTTTTAGTATATTCATGAATTCATGTAGCCATGATCTCCAATGTAGAACATATTCATAGCCTCCAAAAGATGACTCGTACCCTTCTGTCTCCACACCCCCCATCTCATCCATGCTAGCCCTGGGTTACTACTACTCTGTTTTCTGTCTCAGTAGATCTGTCTGTTCTGGAAATTTCCTTGTACATAGACTCAAATAATATACAATCTTTGTGATTGACTTCTCTTATTGGAAAAAAATTTTTTATTTGTTTGATTTGGTTTTTTTTCTGTCCATCCATGTTACAACACTAATTGTTTTATTCTTCTTTAATTGTCAAGTGTATTCCATTACATGAATATAACACATTTTTTAATTTATTGTTTGTTTATGTATTTGTTTACTTACCTTGAAATGCTGGCATTGAAGCCAATGCCTTTCACAGGGACAGCTGCCAATTGTTTCTTAATGCTGTTACAGAGCTCTGCTCCTCCAGCAGCGTGATGGCCCAGTCTCTGCACACTCTCACCTGCACACCCTAAGTTATCCTTTTGGTTACAGCATCCCACTGGCATGAATGGCTACGGTTGGGTCTCCATAGTAACTGATGATGTTACTCATTTTCCATTTATGTACCTTCTTTGGAGAAATGTTGTCCTTTGACAGACACACACACGCACACGCACACGCACACGCACACGCACATGGACATGAGTTCTGTGGCCCATGTGTACCCCTAATATAAACACACAATTGCACGCATGCAGTAAAGAAACTTAATAAAAATCATCTTTATTGGCTGGGTGTGATGACCTCTGCCTTTAATCTCAGCACTTGGGATTCAGAGGCAGGTGGATCTCTGAATTCAAGGACAGTCTATTCTACATAACAAATTCCTGGACAGCCAGGGCTACATATAGAGACCCTATCTCAAAAAACAAAACAAAACAACAGAAAACCAACTTGATTTAGGAATGTTTTAAAAACAGTAAAATGTATTTGTTCTAAATACACACTTTAGTTTAGTGAGTTAGTTTGTCAAAGTGGAGAGCACAGACTTTGGAGTCAAACACATGTTTGATTCCTGCCCTGCTACTGCCTTACTATTGGCAGTTTGCTTAGCCATTCATGCTCAGCGTTCCTTTCTGTAGTATGTTTTGCCTGGCACATACCACTGAAAAGATGGCCTTTGTTCCCACACAAAGGACTGATCTAAGCAATGTTGTCCTCTGACAAGCTAATCCACTGGATACAATGGACGCGACATTAACAACCGATTCAGCTAATGTAAAGAAAATTTCTGTCCCCTGCCAGTGTCCTTTACATTCTTTCCCGTACGTCACCAGCCCCTGGGCACTGTCCCAGGCAGACGATGAGCCACATTCTTCTACTACACACTGGTTTTTTGGTTTTGTTTTATAATGCTCTAAAATTTCATATTGATATAATCATAAATGCACTTTTTATGTCTGGTCACTTTTGTTGAGCAGTTTTATTGTTTTTGTTTTTACATATTACATGTTTTTGTTTGTTGCTCTGTATTTATTCACAAATACACCACATTTTAAAATTACTAATTACAAATGATATCACTGTGTTTCCATTTGTCATGGACACAAGTCTTTGTGAGTACATATCTGTTATCATGATGTTGGATAAATACCAATGAGCAGAATTTCTGGATTTTATGAAAAAGTCCATGTTAAAACTTTTTAAGAAACTGCCAGGTATGGTGGTACCTCTAGTTAGTCCCATTACTCAGAAAGTAAAGTCAGGAGGGTTAACAGAAGTTTGAGGGAGGCACGAGTCCTGCAGTGTGTTCCAGGCCATCCAGGGCTGCCTAATGAATTTGTCTGAAAAAATGAAAAAAAAAAAAAAAAAAAGAAGCCGGGCATGATGAGAGGCACTTGGGAGGTAGAGGCAGGCAGATCTCTGAGTTCGAGGCCAGACTGGTCTACAAAGCAAGTTCTGTTACCAGGGCCACACAGAGAAACCCTGTCTCGAAACCCGCCCCACCCCCCAAAAAGAAAGAAACAGCCAAGTCAAACAAAAAAAATATACATGTAGGGAAACTATTAACCTGTGTTCCAAAATGCTTGTCCCACCTGGAATTCCACCAGTGTCCTGACCGTGTCCCCACACGTGGTCTGTCCCCACCGCTGCCTCAGCTCAGAGAGGAAGCATGTGTCTTTGCATTGCCACGTTTCCTTCTCCTGGCTGCTGATCTTGTCACGTGCCATGCCGTGGGCTTCTCTGTGGTCTGTCTGCACGTGTGACAAGACCTGGCTTCGGGGCTCTTCCTGCGTCCAATGTAATCACCTCACTGGAAGCCTGGGGATTGTGTATCATCTTGTGTCATTTTACTTTGCTTCTTTTTTTTTTTTTTAAACCATGTGTTTCCAAAGGCAGAAGTTTTAAGTTTTTGGTAAATTCTATATATTATTATTTTCCTGGAATTTCTGGTTTTTCATTCTGTCCAGAAACTTTTGCCTGCTCCAAAGCCATGACGATTTTTCTTCTAAGCATTTCATGTAGTATGTGTATATCAGTATCATATGAATCATATATATGTGATCCATTTCAAGTTAATTTTGTGTGTAGTATGAAATAAATTTTTTTTATGTAGGTAATAATGTTGTGGGAAATACTGATTTTTTCCCCCCATTTTATTACCATGCCATTGACTATGGGGCCCAGTGCAAGACTTTTAAAACAAAATTGAAGACTTGGGATTTTCCATAAAAGTTTTGTTGGGCAATATGTGAAGTTTGTTGTTGTTGTTTGTTTTTATTTGTTTGTTTTGGTAGCAGCAGCTTTTTCTGTTTGCAGGATGCAGTGTGTCTTCTCTGCATGCTGTAAAAGTTACCAGGATGCAGTGTGTCTTCTCTGCATGCTGTAAAAGTTACCAGGATGTAGTGTTAGGCTTGATGGTCCAACCTTTTATCTCAGCACTTGGGAAACAGAGGTAGATGTATCTCTATGAGTTTGAGGCTAGCCTGGTCTACATAGGAGACTGTGTCTCAAAAAAAAACAAAGTTAGCAGTGTGATTGAAAACAAATGTTTTCCAAGTTGGCTTTCCCTTCCTCTAGTGGATTTACTTGTGGAGAAGCTTCGTTTGTTTCTCTGCTGTTCCTCTCCTTGTTGTCCTTTTCATGCTCTCAAGGAGGAGGCAAACAATGGTTTTCAGCTTTCTGAGGAGGAAGTTACAAAGTCCCCAGCAGAAGAGGAGGGCAAAGGTTCATTGCATCCTCCTTATCGAGGCTGGGGTGAGGCGGTGAGCTCTGCGGGTTTGAAACCCAGTAGGCCTCTTTTGCCTTTCCCATGTGAGCAGTGAGAGAGCCCACATGCTCCCCTCGTAGCTGCCTCCCACAAAGCTGTGCGGCAAACTGTGACGGCAGATGGCCACCAGGCGCAGCTTGATTTGTTTAGAGACCTACATAAGGAGCAGCATGTGTTTTGTTTTGTTTTTCCCTTTAATTACTCAAAACCACAGAGATGAGTTTCAAAGATGATGTGATCTAGCCAACGAAGAAATATTTAAAAAGACAAGTGTCGCATTAAAGACAGCTCTAGCTCCCCAGTGATTACTGGGTTTTCTGAGTGCTCTTTGGGGGCTCTGGGCCAGCCAGGCTGTGTGTTGTATGGGATACAAGGGAGGCATTCAATATTATAAGACAAGCCCGAGTCATTTTTAATTTTTAATTGTTTATGTGTATGCGAATGCCTGCTTACCTGTATGTGCACCATGTGCATGTGGTGTCCAAGGTCAGAAAAGGGCATCAGATTCCTGGAACTAGAGTTCCAGGTAGTTGTGAGTCCCAACACAGGTGTTGGGAACCAAACTTGGTTCCTCTGCAAGAGCAGCAGATGCTGTGACCACTGATCCATCTCTCCAGCCTTTATAAAGGTAGTTTTGGTGCCTTTCCCATGCAGCTGCGATGCTGGGACATTGAAACGAAAACAGTGGATAACTTTAAAAGTTTACGTTTCAGTGGGAGAAACAAGCAAGTCAGTGGTTTCAGTACCCGCAGCAGACGGTGTGCTAGCCTGTATCAGGATGCTCTAGAAGCCCTGAAGCAAAAGATACCAAGTCCAGCCCATGTCAGGAGAGGACGAGGACAATACCAAGAAGGCAGAGTCTGGGCACCAGGAGTAGGTGCTGATTAGGTAACTGGGGACTGGAGGCGGAAGACCCCATGTCCAGGGAGAGATACCAGCAGTGCTGGTGAAGCCCCTGGTAGAGCACGTGTGGCAGGGGAGGGGCCGGTTACCACAGAGTTTACAGATCATGAGATGGATTATTGTTTCTTCAAATGTTAACTGTCCACTTTCAGCAGCAGAATATTGTAGAATATTTGCACAAATACAAGGCCCCCATATTTTGCAAGATTTATTTCTGCTCAGGTTGGCTAATTCCCAGTGGGCCAATGTAGAGCCTCTGTCTATCCTTTGTTTCTTCGTCAGTTCTCTACAGGAGCAGGATTCATGGGCAGGTGATGTCTTACAAGGGCTTTGGGAGGTTTCCAGAAGACCTTGCGTGAACTGGACTTGGAGGCCTATGCCTATGAACTCAGCACTCAGGAGGGAAACACAGTAGGGTTGAGAGTGTCAGCCCAGCCTGGGCTACACATACAGCAAGGTCTTGTCTCCACAACAGCTCAGTTTTAAAACATTTGCTCCTAAAATAAGTATGGAGAATAATTACACAGTGTTTTGAATCAACACAAGGCAGAAAATACTAAACAAAAGAGCAACATTCATTGTGGCTAGAGAGATGGCTCAGTGGTTAAGAACACTGGCTGCTCTTCCAGAGGACCCAGGTTCAATTCCCAGCACCCACATAGTAGTAGCTCACAACCCCCTGTAACTCCAGCTCCAGGGGATCTGATGGCCTCTTCTGGGCTCTGAAGGCACCAACCACACAAGTGGTGCAGAGACATAATACATGCAGACAACCCCCCCCAAAAAAAAAAAAAACCAAAACCAAAACTAAAGGATAAAAATAAGAAATTTCAAAAGCATTCACAACTACATTTTTAGGTGTCTTTTTCTAATAGCAGTTTTGGGTGAGAATCCTGGAGAACTGTGTCTTTTGATGCTTGGCCTGCAGCCCCGTGTGAGTCACAGCAAGAAGCACGGAAATGGCAAAAGTGTGGACTGTAAGAGGGAGCTGATGATATTTCAGGACTCCGTGTGTTTTACCTGCACAGGAATTAGAAAACAAAAGAAGATTACAGAAGCAGGCTGCCACAAGTCAAAGTGCCACAGAAGTCCGCCTGAACCGAGCTCTAGAGGAAGCAGAAAAGTATAAGGTGGAGCTGAGTAAACTGAGGCAGAGTAACAAGGTATGCAAACCTCTGTCCCGCCTGGTCCTGCAGCCCTTCAGTCTCAAATAATCACACAGAGACTTATATTAATTATAAACTGCTTGGCCTATTGCTCAGGTTTATAACTAACTAGCTCTTACGCTTAAATTAACCCAGAATTCTTATCTATGTTTACCCATGGGGCTTGGTACCTTTTCTCAGTCCAACATTCTCATCTTACCTCCTCTGCATCTGGCTGGCGACTCCATCTCTCCTTTCCTCTTCCCACCTTCTCCTAGTCTGCTCAACCTGCCTACACTTCCTGCCTGGCTACTGGCCAATCAGCGTTTTATTAAACCAATAGGAGTAACAAATCTTTACAGACTACAAGAGCATTATCCCACACAAACCTGAATAACTGCAGTGTGCTCACCCCTGGGAATCCCCTCCCCTGCAAGCATTGGAAACCACGTTTATCGACTCCTTGTGGGGTGGGTGGGGCACACATGCCGTGGTGCTCCTGTGGAGGTCAAAGGTCAGCATCATGGAGCTGGTTGTCTCTTTCCACCTTTATGTGCAGTGGGGATCTAACTCAGGTGGGAAGCTCACCTGTTGTCTTTACTCACTGAGCCATCTCACCAGCCCGGAAGACACCTACTGCCTCTTTTGAAATTAAAATTTCTCATGTGCTGAGTGGTAGTGGCTCACACCTCTAACCCCAGCACTCAGGAGGCAGAGGCTGGTGGATCCCTGAGTTCAAGGCCAACCTGGTCTACAGAGTGAGTTCCAGGACAGCCAGGGCTACACAAAGAAACCCTGTCTCAAAAAACCAAAAAATGTTTTTTCTTGTGTCATGATGAATGCTCTCTTTTCAGAATAAAAATTTTAATGATAGGTACATCTTCCACTAATTAGGATTTCGTTTTGACTGTTATAATTGGGTGACTGGAGTATTCACTCATTTCTTCACATAATCTTTAGAGGGGCCTTTGTTATATGTCAGATTCTTCCTGAACCCTGTGGATAGTGATGAAAAATAAGCATCTTTTGTATGTCCCCTGCTACCTTCTTCTCTGAACCTCAGGCTTCTGCTATGCGTAGGGAGGGGTTGTATTACAGGGCCACAGTTCTGAGCCTTGAGCACTGGGAGGCTTTGTTAAGTACAGACCACTGGGCCCTACTAGCCTTAGAGCTAGTCTCCTCAGTAGTCAAGGTGAGGCCTGAAAATCAGTCTCACTGTTGGTGGTAACACCTGTTACAGATGTGTAGCGACCACTCCCATACCTCCGGTGTCAGCACAGTGTTCAGTTGATGCCTTGAGTATCTGTGGAGTGAATGGAGGTGAATATTGATGTGAGAACCTTTCATATGTTCTGTAAAATTAGTTCTGTATCAGCCTGATGGGAGGGCTTCCTTATGACAACATTTAGTATCTTAACAATGACTTAGGAACCACCTGATTTCATAACTGATGGTACATTCGGAATTTTCTCGGTAACACTGGTGGAAACAGAGACCTTGACTAGTCCTCTGAAACGATTAGCAGAAGCCAACACGTGACACCTTAACTACAGCATTTTAATGATTCCATCTGAGGCACCTTATGCTGCATGGCCAGCTGTCCCATGTTTAAAGGCCATCAACGATGACCTAACTGAAATAAGTCATCTTCACACACCAACACTCAGCATGTTGTTAAGACTCAAGAAAGTAAAAGGAAGAGTAACTGTGTATCGGGATTTGCTGTTCTGGTTGTTGATCTGATGTCTGGTTTGCCACACACATTAGAAAAATAGAAAGGAAAACTATTTTCTTGGCAACACGTGGCATTCATTCTATCCAGCAGTATTGAAAATTCAAGTAGTAAAGGCTTGGTAGCCAATGGTGGCGGTGCACGCCTTTGATCCCAGCACTCGGGAGGCAGAGCCAGGGGGATCTCTGAGTTCGAGGCCAGCCTGGTCTACAGAGTGAGATCCAGGACAGCCAGGGCTACACAGAGAAATCCTGTCTCGAGAAACAAACAAAAAAACAAACAATCAAAGTCTGCACAGAGCAGATGAGTAAGAGGGAGAGAAGCGAGGGTGTGTTGGAGAGGCCACTGCTGGTGAGTGTTGATAAGGTGCAGCTCTGTGAGAACTGAGCATGTGTGCTAAGTGAACAGCAGATCACCTTAGAAATGTTTCTGCGGGGTGGTGAGGAGGCTGAATTCTGTATGGGATTGGATTAAAAAGGAGTGAGATGAGGAAGTGGAGTGAATGTATGTGAAGTGTAGACTCGGAGGGAAACACAGAGTTGACTGAACTTTTAAATGAGGTCATTTAAATATGATAAAGTAAAGACTGTATGTGTATAGCTTGAGTCTGGGCTCTTCGACTTTCCCATGACCACAGCTCAGTTCCCATCTAGAACATTCTCACTGCTCAGAGAGATCCTTGTGTCCTGTCTAGGCCCTTCCCAGAGGTGCAGCTGCACCGACTTCCTTTCCTGAGTTCAACACAGGTGGACTCCCAGGGTGGACGCTTGGCACTGGATCCTTGCACTGTGCAGGGAGTCAGGACTGAGCTGTGCTGGGTTTTTCCCTCCACGCCTCTTATCAGTGAGTTATCTATCAGTCCCCTTTGTCGAAGAATCAGCTTTTGATTTTACTTCAGTCTGTTTTCTGTTTCCCTGACAACTCCCTTTCCCTTGGGATTTCTTGTTTGGGTTTTAATTTGCTCTTTTGTCTCTGGCTGAAGTTGAACCTTAGATCACTGATTTTGAACTTTGTTTTCTGAAGCCTTTAAAGCTACACCTGTCCTTAAAGTGATACTCTCCATATGTCCTACAATTTTTGGCCTACTTTTTTGTTTGTTTTGTTTTGTTTTTCAAGACAGGGTTTCTCTATGTAACAGCCCTGGCTGCCTGGAACTCTCTTTGTAGACCAGGCTGGCCTCAAACTCACAAGAGATCCACCAGCCTCTGCCTCCTGAGTTCTAGGACTAAAGGTGTGTGCTACCACACACAGCAATTTTTGGCCTGTTTTAAATATATATGTATGTATATATTTATATATATAAATACACACACATACACTATGAAGACATAACCAGTATATGATATAATAAACCTGTACATGCCTGATGTAAAATGTGGTTGAGTTCTGACAATTACAGCTTGGGATTGAGGCTTGAGTTACCATGTTCAGGTGATGTGTTCTTTCTTAGTAGCACACAAAATGATGCTTCACTATGTATTTTCACATGTATCATACATAGTTTACTTAGTCACCTTCCTACTGCCCTCCCTCTTCCTCCTCTTCTTCCCTTCAAGCAACTTCCCCTTTGCTTTAATGTCATGTAGATTTATGTGTCAATCTGGACTGCATGAGAGGAAACAAGCATTCCTATCTGAATCTGGCTTGGTTCACTTCCTGCGATGACCTCCAGTTGTGTCCATTTTCCTGCAAATGACATGGTCTCATTCTTCTATACCATACTCCGTGTTTCCTTTATCCACACATCTGTTAACGGGTCTCTCTGGAGGTTCTGGAACCTGGCAATCGTGAACCATTCTGCATTAACATGGATGTGCAAGGATCTCTTTGGCATGCTGACTTAAGATATCCCCAGGGTGGTACATCTGGGTTACATGGTAATTCTATTTTCATTTTTTAGAAACCCTCCTATTGACTTCCGAGTTTACATTCCCACCAGCTAGTGAGTAAGGCCTCTCTCCCCACGTCCTTCTCAGCGCTGTCTTGACGGTGGCCATTCTGACTGCTGACATGGATCTCAGTAGAGTTTTCATTTGCGTTTCCCCGGTTGACTGACTTTTTCTTATATATGTTGCATTTGTATTGCTTCTTTTGAGATTTGTCTGTTCAGTTAATTTGACCAATTTATTAATTATATGATTTGAGGTTTTGGTCTTTAAACTTTTGAGTTCTTTATGGATTCTAGATATGAATCCCTTTTCAGACATCAGATGGCTAGATGTGAGAAAAATTAAAGTTACTTATTTTATGTATGTTCCCCTGAGTACACACACATACACCCCATGTGTGTACAGGTGCCCATGGAGACCAGGAGACCAGAAAAGGGTTTCAGATCCCATGGGCCTGGAGTTATAGGTGACTGTGGGCTGACATATGGGAGCTTGCAGGTCCTCTGCAAGAGTAGCAAGAGTTCTTAACCTCTGAGCAATTTCTCCAACTCCATTTCCTGTAGTTATAAAAAGTATTTCTTTAAGTGATATCCAATCTGCTCTTTTTAGTTCCTTCAGTCTCTGTGTTGGGTTCAGTTTCTTTTTTTAAATTTTTTTCTTTTGCTAGTTTTTATATGGACATGGGAACTGCTGCATTGAAATCTCTCCTTCTGTCTCAAGAACTTAACCTGAGAATTTTACAGTGTGTATTCTGTTGATTAATTCCCACAAATTTTGATTTTGATTATTTTTAAACTTTTCATCATTCTATTTAAAACACCAGTTTCCCTTCTGTTTTCTCCTTGGACCCATACTTTGGTTAGAAGTTTGATACTCTGTTTCCACATATTAGGGTACCCCCCAGATACCTTTCTTAAGGGTTTCAAGTTAATCCCATCATGGCTACGGCATACGTGATATGTTTGGATCTTTTTAGCTTGGTGCAGGCTTGTTTTATGATCCCAATACGGCTTAAGATGGTAAACATTCCAGCACCTTCTGCCTTTGTTGATGGAGAAGTCCTCAGTTGTCAGCCATGTCAAGTCACTTGACAGTTGCTCATGTGTTTGGCACTTCACATATTTTCTGTGTATTTTTATCAACGAATAAAGGAGTATAAATGAAACTGGATCTGTCTGTTTCCTCTGCAGCTTTATCCACATCTGCATCCTGTTTGTCAATGCTGTTACTAGACAGAACATTCAGCGGTGTTGTGTCTTCTTGATGAATTGGCCACTTGGAAAGTGACTGTGTTATTCCTGGCTGTAGCCTGCGCCCTGATATAACCTTGGTATTAAAGAAGCTTGAGCTCTGCTCAGTTACTGTTACCACTGCCTGTCTTCTGTTCTTGTCCTACT